CCCCCAGCAGACCAGGGAGATGCGGAGCAGCTTTTCTCAGCAGACACCTCAGTTTGAGAATAATACCCTGAGGGAAGTGAGGTGTGGGAGAATAAAACTGAGCTCTGGAGAAATGTTTGGCTAGAGTTTCCCCTACAATATGTACCAGTTCCGACTTACATACAAATTCAACTTAAGAACAAACCTACAGTCCCTATCTTGTACGTAACCCGGGGACTGCCTGTACTGTTGGCCTAATGAATGCAATTTACTTTTGGATCAACTCAAGAACCACGAAATACAGGATACTGAGATTGCTCGTTGACTTAAAAACTTAACTTTTCATGATGAGCAGAGAGACATGCCGGCCTCTTTCAGTTCATATAAGAGCTCCTCATGTAGGGCAACCATATTACATGCTTTACAAACACCTTGCATCAATCAATCATAGTTATAAGGCATAGTTCATTTTAACTGCAAACAGCGGGTCTGCTTCTGATATAATTTACATTGGTTTCAATCAAAAGTAAACTCTAATAAAATACACTATCCAGATTCTCTATCAAGATCCATCTCCCGGGAGCCAATTCCTTGATGTAAGGATGCTAGGGAAGTGTTATGGGATAAGATGGAGCATGGCCAGAGCATTGACAATTCTGACAATCCTTGGCTGGCATTTGCCCATTTTGGAGCCACAAGCAGTCTAATCTATGCTGAGACTTTACTAAAACTGCCTGCAGAATCAAGGAGCCATAACCATTTCTTTTACATCTCCCCGCTCCTGTATTCAGCAATTGTGTAAAATTAGCAAGGTCATAGACAGAAATCTGGGATTTCCCCATCCCCACAAAGGACTAGAAACACAAGAGCAAATATGCCAACAAGAAAAGGGGTTGGATGATGAAATCTTATTCTCAGGAAACATTTTATCTAATCCTGTCCCTCTCTCGATATCCAGAAGCCCACCAGCACACACTGATTTAGAAACAAGTTAGTTCTTTGGTACCATTCTTTCAAACTCTACTTGGTACAACAAATAAAATAAACAGCAGATGGTAAGGAATCATCCACTTGGAAGCCTAAATTCAGAAATGATTTTTTTCTCACAGTATTCTTGAAAAATGATACATATTGTCAGTGAACAAGTGAAGCTGAACTAAATACTGTAGTAGTCACCAGATTTTTAAGTGCATGTTCGCATTACCAACTGAACAGCAACAGCAACAAAATCTGTGCAGTTTTTGAAGTTTCGCCACATATGCTCCACTTAAGCAGATAACAGTATATTCAGTTAAGACAAAATCTGATAGTGAGGGTGTAGCAAAACACAACAGACTTTCAGGAATGGATCTGATCCTGTGCAAACACTCGAAGGGCATGTCTACACGGCAGCATTATTTCGAAATAACTCATGTCTACACAAGCATCTACACAGCAAGCATCTACCCCTCATTTCACGAGGAGTAAGGGAAGTCGAAGGAAGAGTGTTCTTCCTTCGACATCCTGCAGTGCAGACAGCGCCAAAACCTAAGTTAAGATACTTTGACTTTAACTACACAATTAACGTTGCTGAAATTGCACACCTTAATTCAACTTTAGCCTGAAGTATAGACGTACCCTAAGAGTATGTCTTCATTAGCCCAGATAATTGGCACCTTGGTTAGCTTACACCAGGAGTGAGCAGACACAGTACAAAAACGTGCCCTAATTACTGTGTTCTCACTTGTGCTGTTCTCCCCAATATATGGCACTAGACTTTGGAGGGCATTTCCCATGATTATTTGTGCTGCCGTGATGGGGCTTACTCTGGGATTCTTCCCCAGGGAATTGTGATATGACTCATACATACCTGGGAATAATTATGGAGGTCTTTGGAGGACCATCAGCGTTTGAATTGTTTGAAGTCATTCCAGTCTCACTTGCCTGACAATATACATTTTCTCTCTCAGACAAAAATGCTTTTCTCTCTTTAAACAGCTGTCTCCAGTTGTAACACATGCTTACTGAATCAAAGGATTTACTGGAACACTGTAGATAACTCTACCACAATCTGAGTGAGGTAATAACTTTTATTAGACCAACTTGTATTGGTGAGAGTTCACTTTTGAGCTTAAATAGTTCTTCAAGTCTGGGAAATGTGCTCAGAATATCACAGCTGAATACAAGAAGGAACAGTTTCTTTAGCATAAGTAGTTGACACATATTTCAAAAGACCTTTCAAGAAAAGATGGTCCATTAACACTGCAGTCATGGAATCTTTTACATTCTTCCCAAGATGTACAAACAAGGGAATATAGACAGACCCATAAGATTTAGCTACAACGCTTTCACTGAAAGAATACTCGTATTCATAGAAACCATCCTCAAATCACTCGCAGCACAAAGGACCAGCTTCCTTCCTACACAACTGACTTCCTCCAGAAACTTTGTGACATCCCTCAGAACCCCATCCTAACCTCCACGGACCTCACCTCCTTGCACACCAACATCTGTTACAATGGTGTCATTGTTGTCTGCCTAAAATATCTACAAGACTATGGACAACACTCGGATATCCAACCAAACTCTCATCCTTATCCATAACAATTGGATATTAAACAAAAAACACTTGTCACCCAAATATCCCCAAGGGAACATGCTTCAAAGTAGAAATAAAACCTATTCCAGTTTCATAGCTTCGCTGTTATCTACCACTCCACACTGGAACATACAGGCGGCATCATTGCACAATTACAACCCATACTTGACGGGGAGCACATCCTGAAAACAATCTTCCCTGAACTCCCTCTTCTGCCCTTCAAATAACCTCCCTCTCCCCAACTCTCTAAGATCACTATTAAAAGCAAGCTCTCCTTAGACCAGAACACACCAACTCAAAGTGGCATCAGACACTATCATAGTTGATATATCTCCAGCACTATGATGATTCACAATACATGGGTCCTACACATGCCTATTGCAACATGCATTCAGTGCACTATATGCCTCAATTACAACTAGGTGAATGCAACCAGACAATCATTATGCTCTCCGATGAATTGATGCAGAAAAAGGATAAAAAACAAAACCTCTTTTGTTTACACAGACTTTTGCACCAGTTTAACTACATCATCACATCACTAGTTAAATGTCCACAACTTCCTCTAATATGCCCTAAGCATATTAAACTGGGTTTTCAGAATCTCTAAAAAATGTATACACAGTTCTTGGAAAAAACAATGAGGAGACCTGTGGTTATACATTTATGCATCTGATAAAGTGGGCTTCAACCCTTGAAAGCTTATGCCTATATAAATTTATTAGGCTACGTCTAGACTGCATTCCTCTGTCAACAGAGAGATACAAATCAAGTTCATCAAAATTGCTAATGAAGCAGAGATTTAAATATCCTGTGCCTCATTAGCATAAACATGGCTGCCGCTTTTTTCAAAATGGAGTTTTTTCGGGAAAAACAGCAGTCTAGATGTGGATCTGTCAAAAATAAAGCCTTTTTCAACAGATCCTGTATTCCTCAAAAAATAAGGTTTACAAGATCTGTCGAAAAAGGGTTTATTTTTTAGATATTTTTGAGACAGATCCATGTCTACACTGCCTTTTTTTTCGAAAAAACTCCATTTAGAAAAAAGCAGCGGCCATGTTTATGCTAATGAGGCACAGGATATTTAAATCTCTGCTTCATTAGCAATTTTGATGTGCCTAATCTACATCTCTCTGTCAGCAGAGAGGTGTAGTCTACACACACCCTTAGCCTTTAATGGTCCACACTGCACCGTTATCATGCATTCTATGAGGAATAACGCCTATTCTGAAATAGCTATTTCAAAATAAGGTGTGTGTAAACGCTCCACTGCTGCTATTTTGAAATAGCCCCTCACCAGTGCCACTCTAAGTTATTCCTCCCCAGTGGGCTCTAAATTGAGATAGCATGTCTAAATTAGTGAAGCCTGCTTCAGACTAATTTTGAGGCTTCCCTGCAGTATAGATGTGTTATTTTGAAATAAGCTATTTCAGAATAATTATTCCGGAATATCTTATTTCAGAATAAGCGTGCAGTATAGACATACTACCACAGGACTCCTCATTGTTTTTGCTAAAACAGACTAATATGGCTACGCCTTTGAAACTCCTTGGCAAGATACCAATTAATAAGGAATGTGTATTAAGCAGAGACTCCTTACTTTTGGAAGGGAAGCTCTGGATCCTGAACTCTGAGTAGTCATTGTCAAGACTGTAGTGATGCCCAAAGCGACCCTGGCTGGAGCAGCATCCATGTTGATCCAGAAAGAAACCCAGGACAAAATGACGATCAGCAGGCTAGGAATGTACATCTGGATTAAATAGTATCCCATCTGACGTTCCAAATGAAACTTGACTTCAATGCATGTAAACTTTCCTAGAACATGAAATTGCTTTTATAAATGTTTTTTGCACATTTTGTCTTATTTTATGAGCATAACTTAGCTTCCTGACTACAAGCATATATAAATTTTGCAGCATTCTATCATTATGTTTTAGCTCTAAAAGCAGAGGACTCAGTATTAAAAAGTTGTTCTGGTTAAGCTTTTTGATAACATTGTCATTTGGTTGAGTTGACATCATAATGTTCACTTAAAAGAACAGGTATTTATTTTTCTGACTGAATCTTATTACTTTGAATGCCCTACAAAAGGTCTAATCCCATAAGAAAAACCCACTCCTTTTAAATGAATGAATCCCATTTTGCTTTGGTTGGGTGAACACCACCTCATTCAGAGGTTCTCTCTTCATCTGACCAGTAGATCAGGTATGTGCCTGCATCTAAACATGTGGGACTTCCTCCATCCTTGCTAAACAAAATTATATTGGTACACTTTTTTGGTGTTGGAGAAGAAGCTGTTAAAAACAGACACTCAGCTTTATATCTGGTAACTTGTCACCTTGTTCTGGAGCTTTGTGTGACTTACACAAATTGAGAGATACCACAGCTGCCCACATCCACAGATGTGTCTCAAGAAGCTATACAAATCACCAGCGAGGTTAATTGTGAACTTCTTTAGATGTGTTTTTGACTCTCCTTGAGGTTCCAAGGGTATTTTCTTGGTTCATTTGACTTTCCATCATGACAATTATGGACTTAAAAAAAATGAGGGGAGTCTTGGCGAAAGCCTATCTTAAGGGAGTAACATCTCAATGTGAACTGAATGGAATAATGCTTACTAAATAAAATTATATTGATACATTTTCATAGTGTTGGAGAAAAGGCTGTTAAAAAGCAGAAACTCAGGGCAGGGCACTGGTTTTTTTTGGCTGAATAGATGGTGCTGGACTGCATTATCTCGCCAGGAACAGATTGAAGGGTTAAGTACAATACAGAGAGCATTAGTGTGCCCTCGTCATTCAAGAATTCTATTTTCTGATGTTCTGTGAAACTGCAAGGGCTGAATGAGATAGAGGGTAGGAAATGTGAAAGGGGAGATTGAAACTGAATAATATTGCTGTTATTTCAAAAATTTAAAGTTATAATTTTCTGTGAACATTTAGCATATAAAAATGGTGTCCTTTTCTGTGCTGGGTCCTGATTACATACTTTGAATAGGTTCAAAACTTCAGACTTCAGCCACATCAATCAGCTGGTAACAGGAATCACAGGACACCATGCTGCTTAGTTTTTATGTGGGTGTGAAAAGCAACTGTTTCCCAGTATTATCAATAATAAGAACAAAACCTCTCCATGTGCCTCTGTTTACAGAGTTCTCTATGGATTATTTCTCAGAGGAAAGCCAGTTTTTTTCCCCTTCAGACCAACCACTGCTTTCAGCTCTCCAAACCTGCAAATCTCACAGGATTTTCTGGAGACAAGAGCCATTCATAAGTAGGGGCTCCTTCTAAATGCACAGTGCTTCTCAGCATATTCTGTTATACTGTCAGGACTTTCTCTGCTGGCCTCTGCCCCCAAATCTTCCCTCTGAGCTAGGACTGCCCACCATGTGAAACATAGGTTTGTTAGGAAATGGCTGGACAGAAATTACTCACCCCTCCCCATACTTCCCCCAGCCTGTTTCCCATATTCCACAGCATAGGATTTCAATCCCTTCCACAGTGATTGGGCAGTGAACCACTGTGTTTTCATCTTCTGGCATTTTGGGCCATAAAATTAGAAGCAATTTTTAAGGCAGTGTTGGGTTTGTTTTGTAAACTAAACGATCAAATTAAACAATTGTTTCATTTAATTAAAACTCATGTGACATTAACTGACTGACGGGGGCTGAACCTCTCATGCTGACATAATGAAATACCTATTGTAGATGGGGAGAATTTATATTTAAACCCAGCAGGTGCCAAGAAAACCATTCATAAAAATTACTGAATGCTATCTGCATATCACAGACTCCGAACAGCCAAATTTGGGTCTCAGTAAACTTCCCAGAGGCAGCGTTTCTGCCATTAAGTATGTGCATACATGGTAGGTAGAGAAACAGCTTTCACATATGGAGACTAGCTGTGATATGATATGAGCAGAGAAAACTGTTAAATAATCAATTGTTGACAATGTGAGGCCAGTACTAACAGGGTGTGGTGATGTCAGGCACAGATGTCACTGCTGCCTCTAAAAAATGCCATGAAAGTGCAGAAAGATGGTTCTGTAACATGGCAAAATTACTCAAGTACACCCACAAACAATAGATGAAGAAATCATTTCAGCAATATAAAGACTTCTGTGACACTGACAGACCAGGTCATGTCAGACTGGATTCAGGCCAATTCATTTGTGTATTAGTATAGATCAAAGTGTTTGTTAAATATAGAAGTGTTTGAGGGAACTTACTCTTCCCAAAACCAATGGGGAATTACATGCACAATTTTTTACCTATCTGTATCCTGCTATAATGTGATAGCAAACATTTACATTGTAAATATTCCTGTAACTAAATAACTCATCATACATCAGACGAGCATTGTGGGGCACTAATTAAGGACGTTATCAGAAAAAAATGCTAATTCCAAAGCAAATGGCCATGATGAGTGATGCCCAGAGGTCAGAGATTCAATGTGCATTCCTAAGTCACTGTCATCAAAGGTAAAGCATATGTGGGTAGCACGTCTCTTAAATTCTTTCGTGCGTTGTTCGAAACCAAATACAAGGAAACATAGATAACAAAATAAGTGAAGAATATAGTTTCAAGCTTGAAAGGGCATGATAAATGTCAGTGTGAGCTTAAAGCCCCTATTACAAATAGCAAGTGAAATAGGGAAAACAGGACACTTGTGTTTTATTGATTTCCAAATAACATTTGACAGAATCTATCACTATACATGTTTCAACATATTAATATTTGTAGGGCTTGATTGATATGGACTCCAAAGTCATAAAATAATTTTACTGGAATCAGAAGATGGTTTTAAATGGAGATTAAAATGAAAATCTAATAAGAGATCAACAGAGGAGCGAGACAAAGTTGTATAGTGTTAACAACTTTATTTAACATTCATAGCAAGTGTTTGATTAAATTAATTGAAGAAACAGGAGGAGGTATTAAAATGAATGGAAAATGGGTGAATGTCATTCACTATGCCTATGGCAGTATTACTGGCTGATTGAAGTAAGTTAGTGGAGATTATATACAAATATGGCAAAGAATATGGTCTAGAGTTGAATGTGGACAAGGCAAAAGCTGTGGTGAAATACACAGAGCCAAGGGAAATATACAAGATTCCAATGAACAACACAACCATGCAAAAAGTGAGCAAGGTACTTGAGCAGCATAATTACAAAAGTTGAAAGACTGGATACTAAAATCAGCACCAGAACAGCAAGAACAAAAGAGACAAGGACTGGGAACCTTTCTTGGGATCAGTGGCTGCTGACCCACAGAAAAATCAGTTGGGGGCTGCACACAAGTAAGAAACAAAACAAAACAAAAAAACAAAACCCTCACTGACATGGTCCCCAACTGACAAGGAGAAAGATACTCCTCATATCCCTTCTTCCTCCCCACTCCCGACCCCCCAGAGCCTGGGGGCTCCCAGCCTAGTAGATTTCAAGTGCTCCAGCTCCGTGGTGGGATGGCAGGGGGGCCAAGGGCGGGGGGGGGGGAGCCCTGAGCATTGGGGGCCAGATCCAGGCAATCCAGAGGCCACATCTGGCCCCCCGGGCCTTAGGTTCCCCACACCTGTTACAGGAGAACAACTGATGAGAAGAGACATACGTGTGAATAAGAAACAAACTTAAATTGTGGCTGTGAAATGTGAACATTCAAGCAATTGATAATAAAGAAACTATAATCTTTCAGATTACATTGTTATAGAAGAAGTATGAAAATATCCCGGAAAGACCACATAACCCAGGAAAATACTGGAGATGATCAGAATTTAGCAAACACTAGTCAGTGATCCTATGAAAAGAAAAAATTGATTTGCAGGGCACATTTTATGAGGTTCAGAGGGTGATGCATATTTATAGGTACTGGAAGTAAAAGGAAGAAAAACAATATCTGCAATGGACAATGTAATATTCTGAACAGATCAAAAGGACTATTAATCCACAAATAGATTAGGAAAGAATCATACAGAATGGGCAACCAGAGTTCCAAACCTCCAGTAATAGCAATTCTACATATGAAAAGTAGGAACAGCCAAATCCAAACTCAACAGAGCAATTCCTGATCTGAACATAAGGTATGAAGCACAGGATTTTACATTTTTAAAGGGAAAGTAACCTTTTAGTGTTCCTGGCCTTCCTGTTTTGCCCAAACCACTCTTTTCAAACACCTGTGTCTAATAAATAAGACTTGGTATAAAACTATTTGTGGACATCAGTAGCAGTCATTATTAATGGAAAAAACGGAAGAGTGCTCACCAGTATTGTAATGTTTTGTGCAATAACCAAGTTCCTTATCTTCTTTCAAAATAAACTGTGGCAATGTTAAACCTTCGGCAACTTGCACTGGACCATCACTCAGCCACTCAAATATCAGATCATTCATCGTGTACCCAACTAGAATAAGCAAACCACAGTTTATTAGGTGATAGAGTAGAGTTTCAGATGGAAACAAATTATGACTCAGAAAATATCCTCACTTTTGAATGGGCAAACTTCAGTACAGGCATGTCTAATTCATCCATGAGCTGAACTGCAATGATTGTAGTTATCATTAAAACTTTGAAATAGCATGAAATATATAATTGTACTCGAGGCAAAATATTCCACTACAACGTCAAACACATGCTGCATATCTGTTTGGGTGTATTTCTAGTAAAAGTCAATGTTAATAGCCTGTCAAAGATATTACTGTTCATAGTACAAATTATATTTTACTGTAGCTATGTATCAATTTTTGCACTCTTTTATTTTTGTCACTCTGGCTACACAATTCTTACTCTCTACCAATGTGAATATTTCTAGATTACAATATGATGGAGTAAATATATCAATAACAAAATTGAATAATTTCTATTATTCTAAAATATATATTAGAATGAGAAAGGCAGAGAATAGAGAAGACAACGCAGACAAAAAAAGAATGAAAATACAAAAGGACAGGCACTTAAAATACTCCACACTCTTATTTCACTCTAATGCAGTGGTCTTTAACCGCCGGTCCACAGACCATTGCTGGGCTATGAACCACTGGCTTCCGGGCTATGGCACACTGCCAGGCCACACCTATGACTTGACAGACAGGGGCTGCCAGGGGAAGAGAGTAGGAGGCCTCGCCTGCTCTGTGGAGCTCTAGCTGCTGCAGCTCTGCCCCTGCAGCTGAGTTTTTACTCCAGCTGCTCTCCCCCAGCATGGAGCAGCAGCGCAGCCTGGGTGGGACAGACCCATCTGTTGTTTGGGTAGCCACTGAAGGACTGCCAGGGGGCCCTGGCTGCTGACAGAGGCCCCTCGTGGAGATGTATGACCTTCCCGTCTGCCCCATGTGCGTCCCTGGCCCTGGAGGTGGGTGGGAGCATCATGGCTTCTCATGTTGCAGTTGTTCCTGCTTTCCCCAGCTGTTCCAGGTAGGTGGAAGCCACTCTGCCTGGTTCACATGTGGGGCGTGCAGGCTGTGGGGGCTATCTGTGCACATCTCCCTCTTTCCAGGGGTGAGGAATAGAGCAGTGAGGTGGGGACAGAGGGAAGTTTGGGATATCTAACTTGTTTCCCTCTGGGCTGCAGGCAGAACAAAAGTCCTAGCTCACGACATTTGCATGATTACATTTCAAACAAAGTTTACATAGGTGTTAAAGGCTCAAGGTAAGAAAGGAAAGGATTATTTTAACATAATTTTTTTTAGTGTTGTAGATATCTGCAAACTTTCATCCATTACAATGACGTGTATTGTGTGTGGTCAGATGCGATGAAAAAAAATAATTACAATAATGAATATGCAAATAAAATGTTACCAGTCTGCCAAAAGCTCATGAATGGGTTTGCGGGTCCACAGTATAAATAAGTTTGGGAACCACTGCTCTAGTTATACAGCAGTATTGTATCTCACTATGCAGATTACAGATTAGAAAGACTTTCTGGAGGGATTATCTCTGTTGTAAATCACAATAGTGAAGCTGTGAAATTTTAAAAAAGCAAAATTCTTCCCTATTAAGTCACTTGGGGCATGTCTACACTAGGAAATTATTTTGAAATTACTTATTTTAAAATAATAACTTGCAAAATAACTATTATGAAATAAGTGTTATTCCTCATGGAAAGCAGAAGTTATTATTTCAAAATTACCTGCCCCTTATTTCAAAAAATCAGGCTTGGTAGTGTGGCTGCCCTACATGTTATTTTGAAAAAATAGGAGTTATTTCAAAATAGTGCTGTACTGTAGACCAGGGGTTGGTTACTTACAGCTTTCTAGTTGCATTGTACAAGTCTGAACATCCATAGGAAAATTCTTCAAATCCATTGGACACGATAAGGTTAATGTTAACCTAAATATAGGCAAGAAAGTAAAGTACTGTTAGAAGTCTTTGCGAGTTAATCCTAAGTACAAAATGTATAGTTCAACAATGTTAAAAGTGAAGCAGTTAAGCTTTAAAGATGCAGGTGTTTAGTCCTTCATCCTCATCCTCTTTAGTGATTTGAGACAAGTCCTGCAACAGTGTCAGAATTCTAACTTGTAAGGTAGAGAGCCCAAAAGAAAGCAAGATGATCATTAAGTGCAGTAGTTTACTATTCCAGAGCCAGCAAAGATAGCAGGGCATGCCAATGTGTTATTGTACAACCTGTATGTTTTACTGATAACAATGAACCCAAACAAAGTAGCATCTTGAACTGTCGGTTATCCCCCCCTAGGATTTTTAACTTGTGTTGGCTCTGTTATTCGTGGGGGAGCAGCAAATGGGGAAAACACAGTCACAGGGATGTTTTAAAACAGAACGTGTAATGTGTACAATGCTGAACCCATCATCTTTACCACAGTCCTTGGAAAAATAAAACAATAGCAGAAGGCTAAATCTGCAACATTAAACACAAAGGCCTGGTCTACACTAAACGAGAAGGTCAATGTAAGATACTCAACTTACATAGCTAAATTACATAGCTGGAGTCGATTTATCTTAAATCTCCATCCACGCAGCGGGGCTGTATATCTTAAATCTCCATCCACACAGCGGGGCTGTGTCTTCACTGCACCTCTTTTCTGGAAAAGGGATGCAGATTAGACACATTGGAATAGCAAAATCCGTGGGGGATTTAAATATCCCCCGTGGCATTTGCATTAACGTGGCTGCCGCTTTTTTCCGGCTTGGGGATAAGCCGGAGAAAAGCGCCAGTCTAGACGTGATTCTCCGGAAAATAAGTCCTTTTCCGGAGGATCTCTTATTCCTACTTCAAAGGAACTAGGTTTCCTAGTTCGAACTACCTAGTTCGTGCCCCGTGTAGCCGCGCTGCACGGGGTTCGAACGAGCGGGGTTTTAAAAATGGCGGCGCCCCGCTTATGCAAATGAAGCCCGGGAAATTCAAATCCCGGGCTTCATTTGCAAGTGCCTAAGGGTATGTCTACACTACCCCGCTAGTTCGAACTAGCGGGGTAGTGTAGACATACCCTGAGAAACTAACAAAAATATATACAGTATCATGAGCTTTTGTGAGCAAAACCCACTTAAGCTCATCTCATGTGAAGAAATGGATTTTGCCCATGAAAGCTTATGATAATAGAGACTTTATATATATATATAAAGTCTCTAAGGTGCCACAGAACTACTCCTTGTTTTTAAAGTTACAGACCAACATGGCTACCTCTCTTAGATTTTAAACATCTTGGTTTTATGTACAGTAAAACCTGGGAGTGAGCAAAAGTGGTCTCTTATAAGAGGTGGTCTCTCTTCAAAGATTTGCACACCACAGACCAAAGGTATTCTGTGGGCCTATGCAAGTAGTTGCTCATGACAGGTGTGGTCTCTAGGGCAGGTTTTATTGTATTTGAAATCAGTGTTAATTTTTGTAATCAGGTTCACGGGAAGATGAATCTGACAAAATGGCTAGATTTATGTATGAATCAGGTACAGGTCTGAGGTTTACCTTGTCCCTATAGTTCTGGGTGGATTTAAGAATACCTATTGGTTCGAGTGCTATTTGTATTATGAGTACATAATCCCTCTACAGTAGGTAGGCTATGTATCAAAATGATAAAAATAATTTTAAGTGGGCCCACTGTATGAAGGTGCTGTACTTTAATGAGCATTTATCCACTTTATTACTCTCAGACTGTGCTTTCATTAATTCAGGAAGGTCCTTCAGGCTCATATGGAGGGCTTTGTTTTTAAGCAGAGAACACCAAATGTTTATGCTATTTTGCTTAGGAAAACTGAATTATTTTTCATGTGCTAGATAAAAAGCACCCGAAATTTCCCCAGAGAAAACAGGAGCCTATGCTATCAGAGCTTTGCTTCCCCAAGGAAATGCCACCTGGACAATATTATTTTGGTAGGACTGGTAAACCAATAAAACGAGAGAGGAGTGTTCACAGCATTCTCTGCTTCTCATGTAGCAAACAGTGGTGTTAGTAATAATAATGACCTCTCTCCTCCCACTCTCTGTTAATCTCCCATGACAAGACAATGCTGCTAGTGAAGTCAAAATCCTCTTAAATCCTAACATTAGATTATACAATAAATTGAAGTAATCAAATGCAAGCACAAAGATTCATACCTTATTTTAGCTCTGTGGAATATTCTCCAAGTTGGGCTGGCTATTGTAATTTAACTACCACATGCCAAATCCTCAATTGGTATAAAAAGGCATAGCTCCATTAAAGTACATTTTATACCAACTAAGAATCTGACCCCAAGACAATCTTAGAACATGCATACCTAAATCAGATGACTGTTTGTGCTGTGCCACCAGCTTTTATAGTGGCCAAAGTAAACAGCTCTCAGAGGCTATTTCAACCCCGTCCCCATGCCCTGTAGGGACAGGAAGGAAAAGAAGGAACTATGTTGTAGTACAGCCTGTGACTTTGCTCAGAGCCACCCCATGCCCTACTGCCCTCTAGGCTCTTGAACCTACTTCCTGTACCATGAACCTTTGGCACAGTAGATGACACCTGTTCCACTGCCACAGGAACCTCTGCAGTTGCAAACAAAGGGTCTGGATTTGCTTCTAACTTTTTAGCTGTTTTGTTTTTTCTTCATATAGGACAAAGGACACAGGTACAGAGGAGACTATTCAATGATTGCAGCTTCATTCATTGTGGCTAGTGCATTTCCACTAGCACAAACTTACCTGCTTTGTAGTGGGAGGTCCAAAATGCTCCAGGGAAAATACTCCAGGGCTAGAGATTGCTTTTGCCTCTAAGTATCTTGTATGTTGTAATCTTTATTATTCAAATTATGCTTAGAAGGATTAGATTTTTATGAGTAAATGCTGATTTCACTGTATACACACAAACTGATGAAAAAATATTTCCATTGCTAATAGGTATTTACAGATAGGCAATATGAGAAAATGTCATTTGATGAATTATTAGAGTTTGATTTAGATCTATTTATTATGTTTATTTTGACAATTAATGTTGTAACCGTTTTAAAGCTTTAACGTTTTTAATCTTATCTTTTACTATAAAAGAATAATTATTGTCTTCCCCTATAAGTCCACCAACTGAAAATTGAAAAATGATTAAAAATGCTTAAACCCCATAATTTTGCTCAACTAGTGACAATTTGAATGAATACAATTAAAATGTGCTGAAAATAAATAGTGATCTTTTCCTTTGAAAGTATTTTTAAAAATTGAATTCTGACAAGTCTCATCATAATATAACGAAAAACTTGTGCAGGGGGTTGAGCATGAGCAGTTTCTCCCGGCACGCAGCACAATTGCATAGTATGAAAGAGAAAAAGAACAAGAAGGAAAAAAGAGGCAATTCAAAGAAAGAAGTTGGAAAATGAGACTTGATTGTGCTTTGGACTGTGATCTCCTGAATCTCACTAGGTAAAGCAACTGGTTCACAACTTGTACTCCAGATGTATTGCCATTTGTATCTATATAGAGCATCTCTGTGGGCTGGGAGAGCCAGGGTTGTGGGGGTGGAGTGAGAGTGGAGCAGAGGCTGGGTGGAATCTGCAGTAGTGGCTTTGCCCTGAGTCCTGCACCTGGGAAAGAGGTAGCCTCCTTTCCACCTGGGATGGCCCTGAGTATGGAGGGTACAGAAGTAGGGTTCTTTTGCATAAACAGAAAGGAGTCAACACCAAGCCTGATTCTTCTCCATCCCACGGTGTTCTATGAGCATTGTTTCTTTTTATACACTCTCTACACCAACACCCTCTCCCTGTTCTCTGCCCTTCTCCATAATAGCATTTTACATTTGGATCAAGGTCAGGACACATGACCATAAAGAGGCAAGAGCTTAACTAGTTACACCTCACCCAGCACAATGAAGACCAACAAAACAGAGATAGCTAATCTGAAAATGGGTGTAGCTATTTTGAAATATTTTGAGTACTTTCTTAGCCAGGTCCTCAGTGTAACCATACAGATACTCTAACCAGAGCTGGGTGGAGAAGGGAGAAAGAATGGTAAACAGTTTTTAAAAATCTCTTCCCCTATATTTCTTTCCAAGGCAATTCCAAATAGCTCTTTCCTAAATAACACAACAAACTGTCATCCTCTCATGCTTTTAAAGTGTGACTATCCACTTGATAATTTACTCTGTATGGAGAAGACTTCACTTAGTCTCTTGGATTCAAGGTTAGGTGCATCACATTCTGCATCAAGCTGATATGTCTGCAACCACTCGGTAACATGAGCATAACAGTGTGTGTGTGGGGAGGGGGCAGCTAAAGTGGCAAGGAAACCCTTGCACCTTCCTGCACCTCTTTCTGCCACCTGCATGTTGCTAAATAGCTGATCTGAGCTGGTGAGAGGTGGGGAAGGATTTGATAGGGGCAGGGAACTGCCAGTGGTTACTGTCCACCCACTATCTGTTTTCTGTGGGTGCTCTGGCCCAGAGCATCCATGGAGACTGCACCTATGGTCTGTGCTGACCAAATTGTGATAGAGAAAACATGATCTACGTCCCAAAGTACTTAAATCTATACTGATCATGACACAAAAAGCAAATGAAGATATAACAAAATGTACTGTGGGAAACAGGCCATGGGAAGAGAAGATAGGATTTCAACAAAGTCAAGAGATTGCTTTGGCCCAGATGCTGAGGAACTGCAATCCAAGTTACAGAGTACCTCTGCTTATGGTGAAGTTGTTCTGTGGATGTGACTTTATTGTATCTATTGATTGTAACTGCCAGAAGACATTTCATACTTGCAGAACAAAGGGCAGGATTTGTCTCTTAGGGCACACAACAAAATAAACTGCCTGTCTCTGTGGTGAACCATCTTGTTGCATTCCTAAATACTTTTACTGTTATTTTTACATTTACTGTTAGAATGTTACCAATGCAGTAGGTAGGAAGACCAGACAGAATAGAAATGTCTGTCTTCTTAGTCAATGCATATTGGAAATCATTCCACTTTTATTTTAGAGAAAACATGTTTATGTTTATTTCAGATTAACTTTCTCATAATTTCATGAAATCTACAAACATATGATAGAATAGCCTGAGACATAACTCTAAAGTCATATCTGTAAAGTGCTTTGAACATTGAAGTGTAAAAAAACCTACATATGATTATTATAATTATGGTAGAGAAAATGGAATAGCAATTACAACCATGGCTTCCTAATACAATGGGACTAACTAGCCAATGCAGATCTTCAGTTTTATTCCAATGTAACATCACTAAAGTCAATTGAGTTATGAAGTTATGGAATGATCAATCAAGACCAGTATATGGAGAATAGAGTCAAACAATTATTTTTTAATTGCTTCTAATTGGTAACTCTCTTCAAACAGAGGTTATGTTCACTATCAATTTTATTAATGTGTAAACTGCATGCTGTTGTGTTGTACAAGCACCAGGTACAATATATGGTAATGCTGTGCAATGAAAATGAGACACAATACACTTTCCCTTAGCACAAAAGATTACTTCTGTTTACTCTATTTCAAATTAACTTACAGTTAGTTTGTGAATTTTATAAATATGATATGACAGCTTGAAATATTACTTTTGCAGCATGGACAAATGTCAGGAAAATTATCCATCTGTGCTCAGACTGGCACCCAACTGCACTGTTGCCTCCAGTAAGATGGTGTCTGATGTCACTCAAATGAACAGAAGCATTCATTTCTTTCTTGAGATTAAATAACGGATATTTGTACGTGACAGAATGCTTAATGTATGGTATAGCTCTCTGTGAGTTCTGTTTTCACCCTGTCGTACTGCTGTTTTTCTCCCCCTTTTACGATATAACCATTTCAAATTTTGCCCACTGAACAGTTATGTTATCTATCAACCCATCCTCATAGAATGCTCCTCATAGAATGCACAGAATTTCCATGGGAATTAAGTAAATTGAGTAGGCATAATTTTTTGTCCGCTGAAAATCTACTTTCTTATTAAATAGAACAACAGTAATCTAGTCTTAAAAATCTGTGCTTCTGTAAAGCTTAAGAATGCCCAGTCAGAAATATACCCATGCTGTGAAATATCTCACTGTCCTACAGCCCTTACATATAATAGCTCCCGCTACAGATACTACAAATTTTGTTCAGGTTCATAAAGAAGAAACTGCTCATCAACCAGCTAGTTACGCATCTGAAAGAATGTATACATTCTATACGCCTACCACTGCAAAAAAAGACGTCTGCAGGAATTCAGAAATTATGATTAACTTCTGTAATAATAGTAATAGAGTGCTTTACATCTTCAGATCCCATTACAAGTGTTAAGCAGTTCATCAAATAAAAGTGCACACTAACCTGCATGTCAAATGAGTGCTGGAGATTGTTTGCTGCAGCCAATTCTTAAGCAATGCAGTTTTTACCTCTCTATCATTCAGATTCCCTGCGTGTGTCCCATTTCATAAGGTCACATCAAGATATGTTGCATCAAATAGCATTTATTAATGAAGCCTAAACTCAATCAGTGTGACATATACACTATAATACATTGCACTTTGTATCAAAAATAAAAAGCAATTCCACTAACTTTTAAATGCATGCAAAGGCCAGCAGATATATAGGTGATTTTCATACTTATTCCAAGCCAAGTTATTACATGGCAGGAAGGACTTCACTTAAGAGGCTCTTCCACCATTTAAAATAACCCTTTCCCTTTACTTTGAAAATTCTGCCCACATAAGACTGGAAGATTTTTTTCCCCTCCTAGTAAAAGAGTAATGCCAATTGGTGATCATGGGAATGACTGATGCACACAATAGGATACTAGACCCATTCATTCTTCAGAATGGCTAGGAGATACTGATGTGCCACTCATATTCTAATTTGTGAAGAGGTAAAATAGATTTTCTTTTTATTCTGCTAAGCTTATGTCTCAATAAAGTATACAAAATGGGCAACAAAAATGAACGACAAGTGTGGCCTATCTCAAAGCAAGGTGACATGCGTAAAAAAAAACTGGTTCACCTGATACTGTACAGCACTTTCCCAGTCTTAGAAATCCTCAGCAACTTGTTATCTGTGGTAACATCATGGAAGTTTGCACCTTTCTCATTAGCAAAGAATAAATCAGGCTTCCAAATGGAGTCTAACATAGATGGATCCAAATCCAAGGAGTCATCGGGATATTCACTGTAAGCGAGGCGTGAGTCATTCCACTGTTGTCTCAAAAAGATGTTCACTCTGTAGTCCTATGGAAATGTCATGCACAAAAGTCAATCCCTTGCTGAGGTGGAGAGATTCATTTTAACTTTCCTGATGTTCACAATCATTTTAGGTTCAGTAGTGTACCAATGATGTAATTACTCTTTCTTTTGAATTAGAGGACTGCACAGGTACATTTTCCAAATCAAAACCAATAGTTCCTTTTCAGCTGATGAAGATAATATTCACTGTAACCATAATAATAAGTACAACCCCCTATGCAATACTTTGGATTAGCATGAAATGTCAAAGTATTACTATCTGTACAATGTACAGTAATCACAGTGTAAAATAAAAAAGTATCAAAATCTCAGGGAGGAACTTAACTAAATCATTCACAATCTGTAAATCAACAGATTCTAATGCTTCAGGGGACGGATGCTAATTCCATGGAAGACGATTATGTGATAGGAGAAATTATATCTCCATCATTTCCCATTCATAACCCTTGCATATCTATAATATGTTTTTTTTCATGTGCTCTCTAATTCTATGCTCCTTCTCCAGTGTTTTTCTATTTATCTTTATGCTAATTGCATTCTTCTGCCCAGTAACCTTTTAGTTACAACTGGGAAGATAGCGATTATTAAATGGTTCATTTAGAGTCAACTTCAGTACTGTGGCAAAACTGGCCATTAATGTTATAACAGCATTTAGGTCCTGATCCAAAGCTAATAGAAAAAACTTTCACACTGTCTTACATATTCTGAGTTTATCATTCCTACTGAGTTCCTATGCTCAGCAAATTCAGGTTTGGCATTTCTGGCTTTACTGCTGTTATACATTTAAATGACATTGAACAACCCACATTTAACTGCCCTGAGAATAGCTTATCAGAAATCCATATAATTCATCTTGGATATTTTAGTTTCAAGGAATATTAAAATGATTATATTATCTGATGGAAAAAAAGAGGTTAATGAAAGGGACTCAAAATAATTCCATCCTCTATACAAAAAATCCTGTATTTAGGATTTGTTCTGCAGTAGCGCGAATATAGGAAAATGACAAAGATATACTTTTGACTTGGAAAATGTATAAGTTGACATTTGTTTAGTTAGGCCACTGAATTGCACAGTCCAAAGAGTTTATCATCATTGAAAAGAAATTTAATATTCTCCCTATGAGTAGCAATGCAATAAGTTAATTGCCAAATATGCAAGCTCTGATGAATAAGCCCCTCCAAACTTAAGAGTTTCCCAATGTTCATTCACAAGGCTCATGGTGAATAGTGTGCTGCTGAACTGAGAAAACATTTTAAATGGCTCCAAGAACAGGGACTGAGGAAACTTCTGAAACCACAGGATAATGTTTTGTGATTTCATTAGAAACATGATTTTTAAAATTTTTTTGTCTGTGTGGGAAAGAACCAAAGAATGAGTGCCAGAGAGTAATAGGGTATGTCTACACTAGCCCCCTAGTTCAAACTAGGGAGGCTAATGTAGGCATTCGAAGTTGCAAATGAAGCCCGGGATTTAAATATTCCGGGCTTCATTTGCAACTTCCTGTGCGCCGCCATTTTTAAATGTCCCTTAGTCCGAACGCCGTGCCCGCGGCTACACGCGGCACAGAGTAGGTAGTTCAAATTAGGATCTCTAATCGTGGGCACGGAGTTTGGACTAAGGGACATTTAAAAATGGCGGTGCCCAGGAAGATGCAAATGAAGCCTGGGATATTTAAATCCCGGGCTTCATTTGCAACTTCGAATGCCTACATTAGCCTCCCTAGTTCGAACTAGGGGGCTAGTGTAGACATACCCATAAAGAGCTGATAGTGGGAGGCTGAGCTTAAGGACAGTCAGTTATTAGCAGCACTAATAGAAGTCTTCAAAGACAAGACTACATATATTTTTCATAGCTAAGTGCATGTTTTTCTGTGCCATGGAGTTTCATATGGTTTATGATTAAACAAATATTTTGAGTTCTAAATTGCCAAAATATCTTCATATCTCATAAGGATACAAACTTCAGGCATCTCTTTTTCTTGTTTTCTCTACCTTAAAAATATGGTAATTATCTTGTCAATGTGTATGGAACAATTTCCACTACAAAGGCATGAAAATACTCTAACAAAATTGGTACAGGAAAGAGGGGACGTGCTAGCATCAGAGATTGCTTAAGAAATAAAGTTAATATATTCAACTATGTGAGCGTCTTTTAAGTTTTCTAAAGCAGGACACATACTGACGTTTAATGATAGCAGCAGAGGGATTTTTTTATTTTTAGGACACTTGTATAGTTATTGCAGCCTTTACATTTACATGCTAATTTAGATTAGAAGGAATCAACTGCAAAATCCTTTTTGTTAGAAAAGTTTGTATAGGATGATATACATTGTACTAAAGATGAATTAAATACCAACAGTCTTAAATAATCCTTGGGGTTACATCTACACTATGGAGCTATTTTGGGATATTGGATGCATCCCAAAATAGCTATTCTGCATCTTTTGAGCATGCCTGTTATTTTGAAATGTAACAGTCTCACTATTCCGATGTCCCTGAAAACCTCATTCCACGAGGGTTAAGGGACGTTTTGGAATAGCGCTTTATTTCTAAATTTAACACTGTGTAGATTGTGCCAAATTTCAAAATAAGCTAATTTGAAATTACCTGGAAATAAGCTATGCAATTTGCGTAGCACAAATTGCTTAATTTATTTTGAGGCAAGGGTGTAGTGCAGATGCACCCTTATTGACACATCTGTAAAGATCATATTCAGATAAATCACTTAAGTATACTTGGAAATCTTCTCTCTGAGCACATTTTTTAGAAGCAAAATTGCATTATTATAGCCCCTGTTTGTCTCTAATTATTTTTGCTTCCAGCCTTGATGAAAAATTAAAATGAAAAGCTTTAAGAGGTAGTCCTGATTTTCTTTCCCTCCTTCCTGTTTGCAATAGGGAGAGCAGCAGGCTCTGGAATGCTACACCTGTAAATTAAGTACATTGATACAGTCTAGAATTTTGTATTTCCCTGACACTGTTTGTTTGTTTGTTTTTTCTGGTGCTTTGAATATCATCCTGGGGAGCAGTCTCTTCTGAACTCGTATGGATTATTTGGCAAATTCCTGAAGGCAGGCATGAGAGGAATGTATTAAACATTCCACTCATGGAGGGCTGCTTTACACCAGCTAAAGAACTGATTTATAAACTGTAATTGTATTTGCTAGTCTCTCTGAGAAATGTGATCTGATCAGAGTCCTGGGAAACAAGAACTCCGAGTTCTAATCCCACCTAAGCACTGTCCATGCCATGGGGCCTTTTCCCGTCCCACCTTCCACCAACAATGGGTTTATTCACGCAAGGATTTGATTCAGGTGTTGGGAGAATCAGATGCTCCATTCAGCCTCAGCAGAACAAAGCATTTGGAAAAGGATCAGAGAATTGTGCTATATACATTCTACAAATTAATATTAACAGGAAGGGAATAGTTAAATGATCTGTTGTAGGGCCCAGAATCAGCCACATACATGAGTACACAGACTTCTGTGAAACTATCCATGTGCTTAATCAGGGCCTGAGTGGCTAACTCGGAGTCCCTTTTTTTTTTTAGTGAAAAGATGTCACTGTCTATGCAGACAATGCAACGTTCTATTGCACTTTACTGGTTATAAAGACAGAGTTAATATCTTTGCTGGAGTGAGTGGGTGGAATGACATCAAAGAGGTGATTTTATCCCAAATGTCAGCCATTGACTCAAGTACACACCAGCAATAAAATATCTTGGCAATTAGTCATATATAAAATTAACAATTAGTTTGTCAATCTATGAACATGCTTTTAGCTTCTCCAAGGGCAACAGCTAATTCCCCGACCCCCGGTCATTAGCTACAATGAATAACTGAATTCTCTGGGATTGTTGCTCAATTTGATACAGATTATTCATCAGTGGCTTTTAGTCCCAGTTATTTCATGCTGCAGTTTTACTGCTCAATTCTACATTGTAAAATAATTCAAAGTTGTTGTCTTGTCAGATGACCAACTTCATTCCCACTGTATCTCTACGTTCTGAGTTATACAAAGGATGAGTTTTGCCCGCTCTTCAAAACATAAGGCCTGATCCAAAGGCTAGTGATGAAAATGAAAACATTTTCATTGACTTCAAAGGCCCTGTATCAAGTCCTTTATTATTTATCATCATTCTGGCACGATGTATATCACCCTAACAGGGAAGAAAACAATTTCCTTTGGAATTAAAAAAAAAAGTGATACTGTCCGATTTGTGTATTACAATGCAGAAGAATTAACAAGGCTGCATTTTATTGTTATAGACCATTTCATAAAATTTAAAATGAAAACTTACAGAAGTACTGAAAGTTGTGCTTTATAAACTGATATTTTAAAAATATTTTTAATAAATGTATGCTTTTAAATATATGCATACCCTTATAAATAAAAAATTTCCCAGCGCTAAAGCATTTCAGTAAGTAAGAGTAGCAAATATGTTGGATGGAATTTTCAAAAGGGTTTAGCATTGGTTTAAATCTATTCCCATTGAAATCGACGGTAGAACACCCACTGACTTCAATGGGAGTGGAATTGAGCTAAATATGGAACTTTTTTAAAAGAAAAAGCCCACCAACAGAATACAGAATTAACTTCAGTTTCCCACGAATGTGTCATCATTAGAATAAAGATATCAGACTATGCAGTCATTTCAAAACCATTGCTTGCTGTGAACACAGCACCTGTTACTGGTTAAGGACCAAGGGCTCAATCCACCAGTCTGCTCATGGTCAAATTGTTCTCATGCATTCAAATCAGTGGAACTTGTGCATCACCCACTGCACAGGACCTGACTAAGGTACATCTACCACTTAGCTTCCATTTAAACCTCCAAAAAAGGGCTTGAATGTGACTTAAGTTGATGTTTGGTCACAGAGTTGAATTTTATTTCCATATCAGCCCTATACAGAAGTAAAAAATTATGTCTGGGTTAATAAGGATTTTGCATGAGCAAATACTGCAGGATTGGGCCAAAAATCTTTTTTCAGTGAGATCATCTGAGGGCAGATTTTGGTCCCCCAACATTTTCAATATGTCTATTCCAAGCAATGTTCTGAAAATATCCCCATTAGTACTTTAAACCTAAGTACTTTAAGCATTTTGTTCCTCTGAGAGATGAACATCTTCTTTTGATTTTCAATCTAATGTATAACCTACTTGCAATTTTTCTTTTTTTTTATTTTAGTTTTATGTCAAAATCATCAAGAGCATTTGATGAGAACAAAATGAGTTCTAGATGGCAAAAAGAAACCTTTCATTATTTATCACAAGGGATGCAAAACTTTTTACCACATAATTAAATTTACTTTGGAAAGCGTGGTAATGAGTAGTAATTGATGTCTGCCTCTAGGAACATTTTAAAAACATATTCTAAACTAGTCATTAATGAGGTAACAGTATTAAGAAAATCAATATCAAACAGCTGAACAGCACCCACTTTAACAGAACTCATTCAACACTGTCTGCAGATACTATGAATAAAGCAAAACAAGGAAGCCAACAGTCTTTGTTTTCATTTACTTGAGTGTTTAGCTTTTTTCAGCAGAATGTGTTAATGAACATTGAAAAGGTGCACATTAACATATTTGATAGATAATAAAATGCAATGAGGGGATTTAATCAAAGCAATGAAAGAGTCTAATTAATGCAATCAGCATTAGGTCGTGCAAATATTCTCATTGAATGCCATCTTGTAAAGCCAGTGGCGTGCAGGGTTTTTGCTACTTAATGCTGCGCTAAGACCAACAGAATGACAGAATGCAAAATGAATGGCTAAGACCTCTCTTCTCAGAATCCTTTAGATTTAGCAAATCTTACCAAGACTTGAAGGATACTGAAAATAAAGTACGTTGATTGTTATAAATTATGTGGTATTCTGATTTCGCCCCTCCCTCTTGGTTTCAATGTTATTTTGATGTTCTTCTCAAAGTAATTTTAAAAGACTATGTATAAATACTATAGGTCAGTGCCTTTCAATCTTTTTCCTTTGTGGACCCCTATACATTTTCAAAAGAAGGTGGGGACTCTGGAAATTCAATCCACAGACCCCTTTCATAGAAATCTTTGACTGAAAACTGACTCAATAGAATTCAACTATAAATTTTTTTGATCTGAGGAAGTGGGTCTGGCCCACGAAAGCTCATCATCTAATAAACCATCTTGTTAGTCTTTAAAGTGCTACATTGTCCTGCATTTTGCTTCAGCTACCCCAGACTAACACGGCTACATTTCTATCACTATGCTCAACATGGCATTTGAGACAGAGTGAGAAAGGGCACTAAACTGTGTGTCTATGGTAATGACAGCACAGCTGGGTTTTAACCCCTAGGTGGGGATATTCACATACTTTTGATTAATCCAAAAACCAGATGTTTTTGCTGGGTTCTGAAACTTTATTTTCATAGTCACCCTTTGTAGACCCCATAAATATAGTCTGGGGATCCACAGGGGTCTGTGAACCATAGGTTGAAACCTACTGCTGAAAGTTATAACATATGCTGCCTCCACTCTGCTATATTTCCTTGTTGTTTATAGTAGAGCCCCTCTCTTTTCATATTATGTAAGAAAGTTACTTAGCCTGTTAAAAAATACAGTTCATCTTGAGTGAAAAGTTAGATGGCAGTTTTTCAAAAATCACCAAAGGATTTAGGAGTAGAACGCACATTCGTTTCAATGGGATTTCAGCTCCTAAATCTCTTCAGTGCATTTGAAAATGTCTCCCATAATTTATTATATAATTTAAATAAATATTTAAAATATTTAAATCAAATATTGATTAACTAACTAATATAAATATGTGTTTTTTCAGAAGGCAAACATTACAGGACAACATTTATAACTACAAAAAAGCACAAAAAATGCAAAAAACAACAAAAAGTCTGGTAGCACTTTAAAGACTAACAAAACATGTAGACCATGATACCATCTACATGTTTTGTTAGTCTTTAAAGTGCTACCAGACTTTTTGTTGTTTTTTAAGTTTATCCTGTACAGACTAACTTGGCTACCCCCTGAAAATTTATAACCGCATTTCTTACACCTGGTCTTTGATTTACCATGTCTTTTTATAGATAAGGTGTTTGATGTTGATTATAGAGATTTGACCCTACAAAATGATGAGAACACTCTACTTCCTTCAACTTCAGGAGGTATATAAGGCATTCAGCAGCATAGGATGGGACTACACAAAACAGTGTCAAAACTACGGTGTGATTACTTTAGAATCGACAACAGCTCCTTCTTTACAGTGGTGTACAGGAAACGCACTGGATTTTATTGTAAAGTGAGGTATGTTCTAATTTCCTTGGAGATGTGAATATGCCTGATTTTTAGGCAGGGGAATGTTACATCTGAATCCAAGTTGGAATCCTTATCTCTAGGAGACTGAACTGAATCCCTCGATCACAGAATTTTCAAGGATTCAAAATATGAATCCATTCTGTGGCTCCAACGCATATTCATGTCTACAATGGATTGAACTGAGGGTAGTGACAAGACTTTATCACCCTCTATCCTAGTACCTTCACTCCATGTACTGTATAGTTCCATGAAAATCTATAGGCCTATTTATAGCATTATAATCCACTGATGTCAGGAGCACTATGCTATTTTTTAAAGAAGTCCCTTCTACATTAGCAGGAGTTATGTATGCTGCAAGAAAGCATGTGCAACAAGCTTATTTTGCCAAATTCTTCTCTTTTAAAATTATAGTAGAAATGTAGGGATCTCAGCAGTTAAGGTTAAAATGAATATGTGGGAATCTTTCTTTGAACCTAGTTGTATAGATTAACATCCACTCCATTTTGCTTTGAGTTGTCAGTTTCAAACAAAAGCAAAGACTCAAAGCAAATATGTGGGAGGGCAAACTGTCACAATCTACCTGATGTTGGGTTGACTTTTTCATGGCTTCAAGCACAAAACCATAAATAGGCCAAATTCACTGAAATGGAGCAAAGATAGCCCCTCTAGTTTCACATGTTTTGGTGAAGATGGTCAAAGATTCCCATCTGTAACAAAATCTAACATCAGAGGAGTTGTATCTGGTTCGTTTCCATTTCATTACGGGAATTTCACACAACCCTAATTTATAGCCCTGGGGATTACTAAAATATGTAAGACTCTAATTATAGTATTATCCTGCAAATGTAAGACAGAGCCATCATATATTTCTCTTAACTTTGATTTCCAGGTATATTTTCAAGGGCTACATTTATTTAAGATATAATCATATTTTTTACTTCACTACTTATTTATTATTTAGAGCATTGTTTCTGACCAACAATAGCTATTCCTGAACTTTAGCACTATGGTATGTAGAATTTATTATATTTTAATACTATAGGTACATGCTTAGTAGCTTAAGAACTCAGTAATTGTACCCACATCCATAATAGCACCATTCTATATCACATCCCACTCCTTCACAAGATGGCTTCAATGGTCAGTCCCACTCACCATTGTAGTTTCTGCTATTGAACCAAAGCTGTTGATAAATATGTTGCAGGTAACATTTACAGGAGGACCTGCAGGTTGAACAATAAATAGAAAAATTGACAGGTTCTGTTCATGACATATCAAGTATTGTTCTTTTCTTGCCAGTGGCATCATAACACTTACCATTGTGGTTTCTGTGACTGATCCAAAACTGTTGATAAAAATATTGCAAGTAACGTTTACTGGAGGACCTGTGGAATGCAATAAAAATGTTGCAATATACATTGAAGGAAAAGCACAGATCCATCAACATCTGTACAGACCGGGACAGATGTGGATGAAACTAAGTAGAAAAGTGAGATTTCAAAGACAAAGACATGTGCATGTGCATTAAAGAAACAATGTCACTACAACTACTTTGATTAAAATGATTTGGTTAGAAAATATTTTCATTTTTTCATGTAAGGATTTATGAAGTGTTAGACTGACAGCATTAGACACAAAAGTTCTTTGTTGATCAACCAAAGCAGAACAACAGAAGCAGAGGTATTATAATCTTCCCATACTGCCCGACATCTCAGTCTAGCAATGGCAAGACCATCTCTGGAGGTTCATTATACTTATTCCATTCAGCCCTTCATCTTTTGCCTGAGACTTCCAACAAGGACAATTATTAACGTAGATTCATGGCCATTAAAAACTGGATACAGACAACCAACCCTTTTCACATCAGGAACTTAGATGACTCTCAATCACAATTATTTTTGGACATTACTAATCTTGTCTGGACACAGTTTTTGCAAGAGAGCAATCCTCTTTACCCCACTCCAACCTTCCCTGCTATTTAGGAACCAGTAACGTATATGAACATGAAGGGAGCCCTAAATTATACTTAATATGTATCTACTAGCTCTTTAGTGCTGATGTAATGAAGAGGTGGTTTTATATGAATTCCTAACCAATCAGGTTGGATTAAGACGACATGATTGAATTCAAGCAGTGGCGGATTTCTCATATACAGTTAATATTATGGAAGACCGAAAGACAGAACTGAACCTGGAACTTTTGCAGCTTAGTGCATGAGGCTCTACAGCTGGAATTAACAGCCAGCTGGCTTAGCTAAAACTGTAGAGCATACTCATTCTTTCTCTAAGTGGTCTAACACAGTGAACCACACCCAATAGTTGTGTGGATTACATACTTCCCCCATCTGAGGAAGCCTGTTCCAAGCTTCAGAGATCCAAATGAAATCTGGATGAGACCCCAGTTGTAACGTCAACAAGCGGAACTGAACCTGGGGAGATTCATGTATAAGCCTCTACCACTTGAGCTAAAAGCCAGCTGGCTCCTAGCTAAGACTGTAGAGACATGGTATCCAACCAGTTCTGAAGCAGTAGCCACTATCATGGCAAACTAATCACACTCAACAGGCCAAATAGCCACATTGTTCAGGCCAACTAGCCACATTCAACCAGCCAAATAGCCACATGTGGCTAGTGACTAGTATATTTGGACACCACGGCTGTAGAGCAAACTCATTCTCTCCAAGGCTACATCTACATTGAAAGCTTCTACACTGCTGTTCTTACGCAAAACCTTGCGGAGCATCTACACTGTGTACATGTTCTTGCGCAAGTAAATTTACAGTAAAGTATCAGAAAATAGGACTTCTTGCGCAAAAGTTATTCCTCTCCCCATGAGTAATAAGCCCTCTTGCACAAGAGCTCTTGTGCAAGAAGGCATGTGTGGACAGGCTACAGGGGTTTCTTGCGCATGAAACCCCTATAGCTAAAATGGCCAAAGAGCTTTCTTGCACAAGTGAGCGTCCACACTGCCATGGAAACTCTTGTGCAAAAGCACATCTCTTCTGCAAAAGCACATGGCAGTGTGGATGCGCTCTTGCGCAAGACCTTTTGCACAAGAACTCTTGCACAAAACAGTTCTTGTGCAAGAAGCCTGCAGTGTAGACCTAGCCCAAGAGTACATCTACACAGCAACATTATTTCAAAATAAAGTCAAAACACTATCAAGCTGGAGGACTTCTTACTCTGACTCCTATAACCGTCATTGTACAAGGAGTAAGAGAAGTTGGAGGAAGAGTGCTCTGTTTTGAAATACGTGCTGTGTAGATGCTTCCAATTTCAAAATAAGCTATTTTGAAATAAGCTATGCAATTGACGTAGCTCAATTTGCATAGCTTATTTCGATTTAAGCCCTAAATGCAACCTAAGTGTTCTTGGTGCCACTATCTGGGACAGTGAACCATACCCAGTAGGTGTGTGGGTTACAATTACATACTTTTTTCTTTTCCCATTACCAATTATTTAATCTTACAATTTTCCTAATATTGAAAAATTGTGTTTCACATCTGCATTTTTGTGAAAGGCATAGAATATTTGTAAAAAAGGTTTTAAAAAAAACAACAACAGTCCTGTAACACCTTAGGGTATGTCTACACTACCCTCCTAGTTCGAACTAGGAGGGTAATGTATGCATACCGCACTTGCTAATGAAGCCCGGGATTTGAATTTCCCGGGCTTCATTAGCATAAGCGGGG